TGGAGCCTGGAACCCACCTTCTGGACCATGATCTTAGTCCTTGGAATGTTCACCAAAATGGCGCTGAGCTGATTCCCAGGTGTTGCATGGGCTTCTTCCCTTGTCTGACCTCCAGAGGGTGGACCCTGCTGCAGACAGCCTTCAGCTTCAGCCAGTGGTGAAGGGGTGTGGAAAAATGTGGACGGAGTTTGGCTGTGTGAGCTGTAGTATCTACTAGTGGCAAGAAGAAACCTCAGATAGAGGGCTGGCTCTGGGAAAAGCAGGAGTGTGGGCCAGGAGCTGGCTCTCTCTGTACCACTACATCCTTACACCTGGTGTTTCAGCTCCTTTTGGAGGTATATTTATCAGTTAAAAGAACAGAACATGTATTATTCAGTAGCTTGTTAGCTTTGATTTATAATTTCTAAATATGCAGACATATGGGTTGTGGGTCTTCATTGTATTCTTGCCTTAGGTCACACAAATGATAGGGGCAGACCTGATCAATGTTTTCAAATTATTATTGTCCTAGAATTGATTTATTCTGATTAAGAAATAGGCCCCAGGGATGGAAAAGTAAAGACTGGAAAGTAAATGTTACCTTCAGACTTGGCCATACTGCGGCCCCAGTGAGGGAGCCAATCAAACCCGTGTAGCAGGTCCAAACTTGGTGCAATCTTTCCAAGCCTGCCTGCTGCCCTCTCACCTAAAGGGTGGGAGATAGATAGGGCATGATTCTGTTTTGCTGACCTGGCAGATTTCAGCTATTTTGGGAGGAGCCAAAGCCCAGGATGTCTAATCTCATTCTCAAGCAGGATTCCAACTTCTCCAGCATTACTCTAGTTTCCCTAACCTTTTCTTGGAGTCAGATAGAGTCTAGAAATGTGAACAGTTTTCAGAATGACTTTAAAATATTTTCAACTTCAGTTGCATGTAAGAAAAAAAAGATTTGTTCAGAGTTGGATCAATTATTTTATAAGTGGATTAACATAGGATACTTTTATTTTTTACATATTTCACATACACTGCAAGATGTAAAAGGCATCATTACATGACACTCACTTTACTTGATTCCACATGCCACATACCTTAAAGGCAACATCCCTTAAAACACCCAATAACTTTTGTTTTAATTCTTTGCTTCCATTAGGTCTGTTATATACAGTTATCCAGGTTGTTCACTACATAAGAGCACCTACGCTGAGAAATGAGTTAGAACTGAAATCTCGTCTTCCTTCCCCTTGTGAAGCTGTTTGTCCTAACATTGGCCTGCATTCACCAGGAGGAAGGGTGATTTTTCTAATCACACAAAGTCACAGTCTGCTCCTCAAATCACATACCTCCAAGCCTAGGTCCATGCAAGAGTTACCATGGTAGCCAAACATTTAAATATGGCAAAATATTTATTTCTAAGGGTCTTCCTTTCCAGAAGGACATGCCTGAGCAAAGAGCAGAGTGTGGCTGTCTGGTCAGATATGGCTCCTATTATAAATCAAGAAATTAACATTCTGGTTTATAAAAGGATCTCCTTAGTATGATTAGCTGGAGTTGGTTCTAGAGTCTAATCATTCCTCTATGGGTGAACAGATGAAATCAGATTTGTAGATCAACAAAGCTGAAGATGCTACACTTGTGGTGAACTTTATAGCCTCATATGTCCCCTGCATAACAACAAACCAGCTGCAGGAAATCCTTTGAAACTGCTTGAAATTCATTGCAATGCGCTAGGGGGGGTTTACTTCAGTAGATATGAAGAAAAGAAAACTGATTGGTACTAACATATCACCCCCTGCTTACATTTTCTGCATTTGCCTCTTACTTATTTTTTCCTCCCATATTATTTATCATTACTGGATCTAATGTTTCGTATCAATTTATTTACTATACAGGGTTGGGGAAAACTAGGTTTACAGTTGTTCATATGGAAAATAATACAATAATTAATAAATAATAATGCAAGAATAAACTCTGAATCTCACATACTCACAACTGTAAACCTACTTTTGCCCCACCAGTATGCTTGATGAGCTCCTGCCACTGTCTTGGAGTACTCAATGAATATTTACTGAATGAGTAAATGAGTGTTCTGTAAGGATGCAACCTCAGCTTTTGTAAGGTTGCTGTAAGGTATTGTAAGTGTACTGTTAGGAATAAAGACTGTTCTTTCATGGGCCACCCTAAGTGGCCCATGAAATCGATCAACTCTGGGCTGTTGTGAGAAAGGCATGTCTACTGGAGTAACCAGAGTAGATGACACTAGGATGGTGCTGTATGATGAAGGATGGTGGGAGCCTCTTAGGAGATGCTTAGAGGTAACTTAGCATAATACTCTCCTGGTCCCTCCATGTTGTCTCAAAGGGAAAGGGATTCTTTTTTATAGCTGCATAGTATTCCATGGTATAAATATCCAAGAATATGTTTGATATGATTTCAATCTTCTTGAACTTGTAGAGACTTGTTTTGTGTCCTAACATGTGGTCTATCTTTGAGAATGTACCATGTGCACTTGGGGAGAATGTATATTCTACAGCTTGAGGGTGAAATGTTCTGTAAATGCCAATTAAATCCATCTGATCTAGTGTGTCATTTAGAGTCACTGTTACCTTGTTGATTTTTTGTCTGGAAGATCTATCCAGTGAAGTCATTGTGGTGTTAGAGTCCCCTACTATGACTCTATTGCTTTTGATCTCTCCCTTAAAGTCCTCCAGAAGTTTTTTTTTCTTTCTTTCTTTCTTTCAGCCTGTGTGTGTCTTTTATTCTGAGGTGGGTCTGCTGTAGACAGCATATATTTGGGTCTTGTTTTCTTATCCATTCAGCTACCCTGTGTCTTTTGATTGGAGCATTTAATCCATTTATATTTTAGGTTATTATTGATAGGTACTTATCTTTTGCCATTTTATTTTTTATGCCTGTTTCTCTCCTCTATTTCAACTTCTTATTATAGCAGTTCCCATTCACATTTCTTGCAATTCTGGTTTGGTAGTGATAAACTCCTTTAGCCTTTTTTTCCTCTGGAAAGCTCTTTATTTCACCATCTATTTTGAATGATAGCCTTACTGGATAGAGCAGTCTTGGTTTCAGATCCTTGTTTTGCATTATCTTGAATACTTCATGCCATTCCCTTCTGGCCTGTAGAGTTTTTGATGAGAAATCAGCTGACAGCCTTATGGGACCTCCTCTGTAGATAACAGATTGCTTTTCTCTTGCTGCCTTTAAGGTTCTCTGTCTTGAATTTTTGGCATTTTAATTATGATGTGTCTGGATATGGGCCTTTTGGGTTCTTCTTGCTTGGGACTCTATGTGCCTCCTAAACTTATGTGACTTTTCCCTTGACCCTGTTAGGGAAGTTTTCTGTCATTATTTCTTCAAACAGGTTCTCTAACTCTTGCTTACTTTCTAGATCTTCTGGCACTCCTATGATGTGAATATTGTTACATTTCAAATCCCACAGCTCCCTTAAACTGTCCTGCTTTTTAATTATTTTTCCTTTTTTGATCTCTTATTGAGTGATTTTTTTTCTACCCTGTTTTCTAGTTTGCTGATCCAATCCTCAGTTTCCCCTAATCTGCTGTTTATTTCTTTCAATGTATTTTTTTTTTATTTCTATGATGTCATTCTTAATTTCCCTCATAGTTTTCATATCTTTTATCATGCTGTTGAGCATCCTTATGATCAGCATTTTAAACTCTATATCTGAAAGGTTGCTTATCTCCATTTAATTTAGCTCTTCTTCTAGAGAATCATTTTGTTCTTTCACTTGGGGCTTGTTTTTGACTGCCTATTTGGATTTGTTTCTATATATTAGATAGATCTAGGACTCCCAGTCTTTTGGATGGTCTCTGGTGCAGGCCAATGTTAGATGCTGTTTGTGGATGGCCTTGAGTGCCCTGTTTGGAGCTATTAACAATCCACAGCATGTGTTTCTCTCTGCTGGGGCTGGATAAGTTTCAAAAGGACCAAGATGCGCTTGAAGGTATACTTTTCCAAGCCCCAGGTCCAGAAGCAGATAAGGCAAAGACTGAAAGCACCCAGAGGCTGATTGTTATTCTGTCTCTTAATGAGCCTCAGGCTGTACAAACTCCACAGGGTGGGGTGAGAGATTTTCCAACAGTGTGGGGCAACTGCCCCCACCCCCCACTTCAAGAAAAAGCTGCTTGGATGGTAAATGTCTGCCTGAGGAAGATGTCCTCTGTCATGTGGGGGAATGATTCAGCACAGGAATCCAGATGGCCACCCTCTGAGCTCCAATCCCCAAGCCAGCACCCTCAGACTCTCCTCACATAGCTCTGGTCTACCTCACCCTCCCTGTGCAGAGCCCAAGGTGAGTGGCTGTACACAAAACTTTTGTGTGTTCACCCTTTAAGAGGGTGCCTGCATTTCAGCCTTTTCTTCCTGGCAGACAGAAACTCTGCTGCTTTTCACAACTAGATGTTATGTAGGCACCATTCTCAGTTCTGGTACTATGGGCTGGGGAGCTCAGCTTGGGGTTTAGACCCCAGAGTTCTCAGTGGGAGCCCCCCACAGTTGATATATCCCTCAGAAACTTCAGCTGCTCCCTGTGGGAGCCCAGGTAGCCCTCTCACACTTTCTCACTTCCTACCAGTCTCAATGGGGTCTTCACTTTAGGTCCTTGGTTATGAAGGAGCTCACCAGCTTGTCATTAGTTGATTATTCAGGATGGTTTTCTATAATTTAGTTGTAATTCCAGTTTGGTCCTGAAGGAGTGTCAACATAGCTTCCACTCAATCAGCCGCCATTTGGAATTTTTGGTGTCTGTGGTTTTCTCTGTCACAGTTTTGTGTCATGAAGCTTGGAGGTGGGCTGCATTTTCTTTTTGTTTCTCATTTCCTCTGGATTATTCTCTTTCCTCCCTAAAAGTATCTTTGATTGAATCTCAGGTCATCAGGTTTTGTCAGCCATTCTCCTATTTTGCTGACATCTATTGTCTCAAAGTCATTCTTCAGTACTCGTCTCATGTCATAGTCCTATTCCAGTCTTGATTCTTGGCAATATCAACATACAAGTAGATTGTCCCTCCATTCCCCTGGCTTCTCAGTTCCCTGTTTACCTCTCTTCTCACAATGTTTTTATTACTGCCATGGTCGTGCCAGACCTCATCATTACCCATCGCTGTAGGCCCTCCATGATCACAATGTGTGCACTCTCCTCTCTGGCACACTCACTCTTTCTAGCTCCCTGTTTGCTAGGGATGCATAATAAAGTACCACAGATTGGGTGGCTTAAACAACAGGCATTTATTCTCACACAGTTCTAGAGGCTGGAAGTCCAAGGTCAAGGTGTCAGAGGTTTGTTCCTTCTGAGGGTTTTCAGGGAGAATATGTTTCATGCCTCTCCTCTGGCTTTGGGTGCTTTTCTGGCAATCTTCTGGTTTTCATTGGTTTGTAGACACGTTACACAAATCTCTGCCTTCATATTCAGGTGGCATTATCTTTGTATGTGTGTGTGTCTATGTCCAACTTTTCCATTTCTATAATGACATCAGTCATATTGGATTTAGGGGCCCTCCATACTCCAATATGACCTTGTCTTAACACAACTAATTACATCTGCAATGACTCTACTTTAGATCTCTCGTCTTCTCCATCTATACTCACTTCCCAGGTGATTTCAACCAGTCTCATAAATTAAAGTAGGATCCAAACCTCAAGTTTATCACTCCAGTCTATAGGCTGATATCCACTTGCTTCCTCATTTCCTCTACTTGGATGTCTAATATGTCTCAACTCAATATATCCAAACCAGAGCTCTTTATCTTATCCCTACACCCATTCCTCTGTCCTTCCACTTGCTCCAGCCAATACCTGGAGTTAGCTTCTTTCTCTCACAGTCCATAGGGACTTGTGTTGAATCTCTCTTCAGAGTGTATCTGGAGTTTGATCCCTTCTTACCACTCCCACTGTGTCCATCTGGTCCACACCACCATCACCTGATGATGGCCAAGTCTCTGACTAGTTTCCCATCCCTGTAGTCTGAGGCAGCAGCCAGTGATCTATGTGACACTTCAGTCAGATTAGGTCCCTCTGTTTCATTTGGAGTAAAAGTCAAAGGCCTTCCAGGCCTTTCATTTGTAGTGAAAGTCAAAAATCCCTACTGGATCTGAGAACCTTGACTTTCCTGGTGGTCCCTCTTATTTCCTGTCTTCCCAGGCTGGTCTCCCTCCTCTTCCTTGAGCACATCAAGAATACATCTTGCCTTATAGCCCCAGTCTTGGGTCCTCCCTCTGCCTTCATTCCTCTTTCCTTAAATAACCTTATGTCTTCTTTCCATATTGCCTTCAAATCTTTGTTCAATTTCAGCTTTTCAATGAAGCCTCCTTGAGCACTCTGTTTAAAGTTCCAGACCCTGCTTAGCATCCCAGATTCCCTCACTCTATTATTTATTATGTTTATTGGTTATTCTGTGTCTCACCTCACTAGAATGCCAGTTCCATGACTTTTATTCGAGCTCCTTTTCTTCCCTAATCCTAGAACAATGTTGACATCTAGAACAGTGTTGACACCTCAATGAATACTTGGTAAATGAACGAATGGAGGGTTACCAAGAGCTAGGCAACAAGAAAAAATGGATTTGCAAAAGAAGGAAGACACTCTTGGTTAGGAGTGTTGTGAAGAAAGATAGCTAATTAACCTTAGAATCAATCTGCAATTTCATTTGAAAACTTGTGGTATAGCCCAGCCGGGTGTGGCTCAGTGGTTGAGCATTGACCTAGGATCCAGGAGATCAGGGTTTGATTCCCAGTCAGGGCACATGCCCAGGTTGTGGGCTGCAGCCGATCAATGACTCTCTCATCATTGATGTTTCTATCTCTCTCTCTCCCTCTCTTTTCCTCTCTCTGAAAACAATAAAGATATATATATAAAAAGAAAACTTGTGGCATAAAGGTTGATGTATAATTTAATTGTTAATTGAACTAAGCATGATTTATTCCTAAACATAATTTAGTGAATAATCCTTTGTTGCTTTTATAAAGCACTGAATGATAGAAGCTACCTCCTCCCCCATGAAACCCTGTTACAGAGAGGAACTGGGAGACATTAAAGTGAGGAGGCTGCAGGCAGGCAGATATGATTATTTCCCCCTATGAGTCAGTGTGTGATCTGGGTTTATCTGTGTTGAAATGTGCTTTTAAAAAATGCCTTTTAAAACATATGTGGCCTTGTCCCTTGATGGAAACAATGTGCTGCTGTAAGCTGAAGTTACTGTGGTGACAGGTTTACCTATGATATTCTAGTGTCCCAACTGGCTTGTTAATTGAACACTCTCCTATAGAATAATTAGCCACAATTTAGGGTGAGAGAGGAGTAAAACCTGCTTATTTCATTTACTTGTTATAGAAACACTTCTTGGGAAATATGAGCTGTTAAAAAAAAAGTGTTGCTGAATTTTATATTTATAAATCATGATTTACATATATGCATATTAAAGTTTTATAAAAGTCCACACTAGGCCCTGGCTGGTGTGGCTTAGTGGTTGAAACATTGGCCTGCTCACCAAAGGGTTGCAAATTTGATTCCTAATCACAGGTATGTACCTGTGTTGCAGGTTTAATCCCCGGCCCCAGTCAGGGAGTGTGCAAGAGGCAACCAATTGATGTGTCTGTCTCACATCAATATTTCTCTATCCTCTCTCTTTCTCTCCCTCCCTCCCTGCCTCCTTCTTACTCTCTCTAAAATCAATGGAAAAAATATCCTTGGGTGAGGATTAACAAAAAAAAAAAGAAAGAAAAAGAAAGTCCACACTGGTATCAACTAATTTCTAAAACATGGACATATACATTAGCAATAAAGAGGAACAAGGCCCTTACACTGGGCAGTTGATTCACAGAGTCTGACTTTCTAATTGCTGAATCTAACTTCTGGAAGGTTGCTTTGGTTTTCTGTCTAATGAGTAGTGTACTCTTTAAGGTTGGTTTCCTAGTGTTAGTCAATTCTTCTTTATCTTGCTTATCCTCAGCAAATATGAAAATGAGCATTTGAACTACTCCAATTTATTGGATGTGGTAAGTGATAAGGTTTGTCCAAAGCTCAGGGAGACAACAATGGAAAGATGTAATCATGAACAATGGAAAGACTGACAGGACAAATAAGGAATGAACAAATTGTTGAGAAGAAGGTAATTTTATTTTACAGAATTGACTGCTTCACAGAGACTTGATTTTAACATTTTACATTTATATCTATTAGCCAATTACCTTACCTATTTGGAACACATGGATGGATTTACTGTACTAGTCTGTCCTTCCAGGTTCCCCATGTAAGTCTTTCCTAATCCACCTAAACTTGAAATATGACCCTGGATTTCCAACACAGAGCTTCTTTGTTATACCATGCCATGCCAGCACCAAATTCTAGGACTGCCTTTGCAAAATTACATTTAAACATGGCTCTTATTTATTAGCTATTAATGAATTTCTACAGGATCATGTGGATGGAGAACCAAATCACATGATCACGTATTGGACAAAGTGATGTTAATATGACTGAAAACCTTAAATAAATATTGATGTACAGGCTTTTTGGAGTTGTAACTCCCTGTCAGTTTTTCTTGAATGTGTTTCTTATAAATATTATATACATACACTATATATTTTAAAGAGAAAATTAATTTGTGTTTTATTTGATTTTTTAAAAATCTTGGCAAATCTGTTAAGATAATTGGCACTGGGAAAACAGTAATGTCCTAGAAAGATTACCAGATGCCTGCAGGAACTGACTTTCCATCCTACCTGGCCACGCATTAGCTGTGGAATCGCTTCCATTTTCAGGTCAACAGAACAGGGATATTAATGGTTGTTTTACCTCTAAGAAACATGCTAAAAATAAGTGGAACAAAATAAGTAAAGTGCTCCATGTATTTCTTACCTTCCTAATAGAATTAGAGTAAGAGAATTTGGCTTTGGACTACAACTTCTTTAACTTAGAGTGCTGATGGTTTCAAGTTTTATTGTAGCTTTGAATCTGATCCTCAAGAATTCCTCTTCACACCGTTTAATCATTAAACCATTTTCTTTGTTGAATCTTAGATTCAGAAGATTCTGAGAAGTCACTTAGTGATTTCTCCTCCAAGTTCAAGCATCCCCGTCTCAGATAGTCCTGAGAAACGCTGATAAGGGGTATTTTTTTATGCTGGGACTGCTCAGCCAGGTGGTTTGTTCCATGGCCAAGCAGACCCAACATAGAAAAATATTAATCTTATTGAACAAAAGTCTGTCTCAGTGTAAATTTGCTTTTAATCCTCACCCAAAGATATTTTTTCCATTGCTTTTCAGAGAGAGTGGAAGGGAGAGAAAGAGAGAGAGAGAAAGGGCGGGGAGAAACAGAGAAGGAGAAACATTGATGTGAGAGAGACACATCAATTGGTTTCCCCCTGCAACCAGGACCTGGAGTTGAGCCTGCAGCAGAGGTATATGCCCTTGGCCAGAATTGAACCTGGGACCCTTCAGTCCATGGGCCAACACTCTAACCACTGAGCTAAACTGGCCAGGGGTGTCTCAGTGTAATTTTTATCTACAGTCCTAGTTTTTCATTTTGAACTACATAGATTTCATCAATTCTTAAAAATATTTTAAATCGACCATCACATATTTCCTAAATTTTCAATATTATGCAAAAAAGAAAACATTATTGAGTGACCATTGCAATATTAGATGCTTTTTTCCAGGTATTTTCACTTAAAACTCAAAATGAGTCTATGACACATTTCCTACATTTATGCATTGAAGAAAATAGCAAAGTGGTTAAAACCACAAACTCTGGAGTTAGACCTGGATTTGAGTTCTGTCTCTACCATTTGATACCTGTGAGCCTTGGCTTCTGTGAATTATAATAGTTACAGCTATTCTAGTTATAATATGGTTGTTGTGAAGTTAAATAAATATAATGCATGTGAAGATATAACACATAGTGATGTTGAATAAATGTTAGCTATTAGTGTTATTATTCTCTTTTTTGTGGGCTGGCCTAAGAATAGGGCCTCACATTTATACCAAAAAGCATATTGTGGTGATCTTGGTTTCTAAATGAAGAAATATTTTTCAATTGTCTCCTGGTGTATTAGCTCTCTCTACCAAATTTTTGTATCCAAGTATTTATAAACACAAATTCTGTG